TCATTATCTCCTTTTAATTTTGTGATTATATATCATCTAAAAAGTAGCAAAGACTATTAAGAGCTTTATCAAAGAGATCATATCTTGCTCCAAAGGCCAAAGAAAGAAATTTTGATTAATAATATATCACTCTTTTTAATTTAATATATATATATATATATATATATATATATATATATATTGTGCTACTTTTATAGTTACACTTGTTGATTCAAGTTTTTTTTAAATAAATTTGTATAGCATCAACTAAAGACTCATAAATTCATAATATCAAGTAGTGCTTTGACAACAATAAGTATAAGTTTATGAAAGATCTTTTATATTATGAAGATCATTTATATATTCCAAAAGCACCAATATGACTTTGTATTCTTCAATCTCATTATGATTTTTTAGTGATAGGATATTTTGAATTTAACAAAATATTGAAGCTTATATCTTGAGATTTTTAGTGGCCTCAAATATAAAGGACCATGAAGGACTTTGCCCTTTCATATGACATTTGTTTAAGATCGAAGAATTCTCATTATTATCCTTATGAATTTCTACGACCATTGTCAATTTCAAAGTAACCATGGTCTGCAATATCAATGGATTTCATCATTGATTTGCTATCATGAGCTACATTTGATACCATCTATATATTTTTAGATCAACTTCCAAAGATAGTATATTTTTTTCCATATAAAATAGTAATTTTTGAAAAAAAAAATGGCAAGGCTCTTTCTTAACAATATATGTATTGATATCATAGCCTACTTGATAAAACCAATTTTGATTGAGGATATGAATTTATTACAAAGTTTTAAAATTTTCTTTTTAAGATATTGAAAGTAGATATTAAACTTTTCTTTATCTTCCACCTTCAAATTGATGGTCAAATAGAACAAGTCAATTAAGTTTTAGAAAAATATATATAATATACCATCAACTATCAATAAAATGATTGGACCTTGTATTTACTTTTAGCAAGGTTTATTTATAATATTATTTTATATTTTAACTCAATAAACACCATTTTATGCCAATTGTGTTTACCATCCAAAGTTTGATTTATTAGATATAATAAAGGATGAAAATCTAATAGCTAAAGATCTTCCAAAAAAATTATCACAACTCCAAACAACTTTAAAGCTCTATTTATAAGTAACTCAAGATTCTCATAAAGCATCTTTAAATAAATTTTAAAAATAATCCTCTATTTTTTAAGTTGGAAATAAAACATGGCTTTTTCAATAAAATATCAAGATTAATTGGCCTTGTAATAAGTTGGACTATCAAAGACTAGGGCCATTTTGTATTCAAAAGAAAATCAATCTAGTGGCTTATCAATTGGAACTACCTACATCAATAAAGCTATATTAAGGCTTTCATGTTTCTCTTTTAGAAACTTATTCAAAATTAATTATTCTAAGAAGAGTACAACCATTACTGTCTTGTATTAAAATAGATAATCATATGGAATATGAGATGGAAAAGATTCTTAATTCTCAACAAAGAAGAAGCATGTTAGAATATTTTATTCATCAGCATAGTTACAATATTAATAAATGTAAGTAGGAACTAACAAAAAATCTAATTAATATGTCATAAAAGATATAGGAGTTTTATTGATGCTATTTTAAAAAATCTAAATCTATTTTAAGATAATTTTTTTATGAAGCAAATATTAAAATATTATATATAATAAAGAAAGCAAATATAAAATTTATACTCTTTGTAGAACTTGGAATTAGAAAGAAAGGTGATGTTACAAACACCTAAAAAGAAGATTTTTAAAATATTCTAATAGAAGGTTTTAGAAGATTATTAGAATATTCTAATAGATTCTAAAAAAATCTAAGAAGATTAAAGAAGTTTTTTGAGAAGCTTCCTAAGGTTGTTTTATGTTGAAGTAACATGAGAATTTCTAAAGAAGCTTTCTAATACCTAATATATATTAAAATAAAGGCTAAGTGAAATGAAATTGGATTATCTTTAAGATTTGAGATCCTTCCAATGTATAATAATATGAATTTTGTGACAACATAGAATAATATAGACTAGAATAAAACTAAATAGAAGTAAATAAAATGGAATATATAAGGTAGAAAATAGCAAAAGAGAATGAATAGAATTGAATAGAAAAGCATAAAATCAAACTTTACTAAAAGAAAGAGACTGAAGCCATACTTGACTAGAAATCCAAATAGCCCTAGCCACTCCTATTTATACTTTGTCCAACTATATTGAAACTTTTTAGAATATTCATAATAATAGACTCTATCTAGATAACTATCCTAAGTCCTTTTCTAAAATATTTTATGGTAGGTTCTATATATACCACCAACCTAGCTTCAATTCTAAAAACTTCAAAAATATGGCTCCGATTACCTATTTCTATGTATCAAAAATATAAATATCTTATCCATACTCCATTACACTAATGGGATCTTTAGTCTTGATAACAAATTTTTTAGAGCTCTAGTTCATCTCTCTTGGAATTGATCTTATACTCATTTGGTTTAATTAAGTTCTTATTAATTTTCTTGTTGAAATTCATATGTTAAACTTCTTCTTTGGTCTCATGTATAGTATATTTGTGACATTTATAGCCATACAAAGTAAATAGAAGTCTATTTTGCAAAGAAGCAACATTAGCACTTTTTATTTTTACTACCTCCTTGATTATTATTTATATTTCTAAAATAATTTGCTACAATGTTTTTAATTAAGTTCTTCTATAATATATATATTTTTTTAATCTTTTACCTAATAGTCGTGTTACAATAAAATACTACGTTCCTACAACAAATTCATTTTTTTTATTGATTAAAAAATAAGATTAAATAAAATACTTGATAAGATTTGGTTGAAGATTTATTTTGAGTGAATTTTTTTAATATTGAGTTTTTGAAAGCTTTCAAAATAAGAGGCGTTTTCAGTATTTTTATTTTTTTAAATAAAATAAAATTATATATTTAAATATTTTTTAAAAATTCTGAAATATTAATAATTAAAAATTTATATGAATATACATTTATTTGTTAAGAATTTGACTTTTGAATTTGTAGTGGATCTAATGAATAGATCAAAAGTTATTAAAATCTAATTGGATTAAGGTCAAAATTTAGATTTCAAAGACTGATAAGAGTTTCTTTGAGCTTAAGTAATCTATTTGTTCAATTAAAGATTTTTTTTGTTTATAGATTGTGAACTTTGTTTTCAACAATTTTTATAATTTTGAGTCCAAGTAAAAAATTTAATAAAGAATTATTGCAACTAAAAGATCAATATCAATGTTGGAGAAAGAAAAAAATTGACATCCAATAATTTAAGTTTTTTTTTCTCAATTATTGAATTAGATTCTTTATTAAAAATTTGTGATTATTTTTTATAATTTAATTTCAATGTGTACAAATTCTTAAGGAAGATTAAAAATTTAATCAATAGATATTGAGGTTTTAAGATTATCTTAGGCATGATTAGATTTTAGTTAGGATTTTATCAAGATTTATAAAGTATCTTTAGAATTTCATCCAAGTTTGTTGAGATTTAAATTTATATAATTTTATTGGAATTTTTTGAAGTTTGGTTAGGATTCATTTAGGATTTTTTATGATTTATTAAGGATTTTTTTAGGATTATTATGATTTATTTAGAATATACTTGCGGTTTTTTAAGATTTAAATAGTTTATTTTTAGATTTTTCTTAAAATTTCTTTAGAATTGATTTAAGATTTATTTTAAAATTTTTTAAAATATTTACTTTTAATTTTTTTAGGATTTATTTTATTTAATTATAATTTCTAAATAAATTTAAATTTTTCTTTAAGACTCATTTTCAAAGATTTCTTTATGATTGCTTTATGAGTTTTTTAGAATTTTATTTAATGTTCTTTATGATTTCTTTGATGTTTTTTTTATAAATTATTTAATGGTTTTTAAGGATTTTTAAAAATATTATTTAGGATTTTATTAAGGTTTGACTATAATTTTTAAGATTTAATTAAGTTTTGTTTTATTTTTTATTAATTTTATTAATATTATTAGAATTTTTAGATTCTTTGTTTGTTATAAATACAATTTATCTTCGACAACCAAATGCTTAGTGTATTCTTATGTTAGTTTTTACACAATACAACAATGTTTGAGGTTGATATAATATTTTCTAATCCTTTGCGGATAAGTAATTATTAGAATATTTATTTTTAAAACCTTTATTCTAAAAGAACATATTTTACAAAGATAGAAGACATAAATTTTTCACTTAATCAATATCTAATGACAACACAATAGAAGTAGGGTTATGAAATATAATTTAATTTATTTTAAAAAATAATTCTTAGAGATTTAACAAGTAGGAATGTGTTAGAGGATTTAGATATCAATATGAGTTACAAAACAAACATTCAATAGTATGTATTTTTTTAATAAAGTCTTAAAATAATTTATTACACAATGGTAATTTGTAAAAAACTTGTTCTAAATATCATTGATAAGATCAGGGACATTTGGGTACCTTTGCATTATTCATTGGTTTAGGAGAATAAGAAGACTAATAGTGATAAACTATTTTATACTCCCAAAACAAACCAATGAACAACTCCAAGATTCAAACAATTCAACAAACAATCCCGATGAACCAAAATAGCCAAGGATTTACCGAAATATCTGTGTCTTATATAAAACATGAAGGATTTGTTATTACAATTGAAAGGATGGAGTTGAGAGGGCTGCAAGAGAAGGGCGGGGGCTGTAGTCACCATCACAGTGACTTGCGATTCTCCCGCCAACGTCTTACTCTTACCCATTTGAATTTAGGACTAGAACACCGGAGGTTCCACGCTGTCAACGACCCCCCAACGACAAACGGACGCTTACTGGCATGGCCACTGCAATATGAGGGACCTTCGACGAAGGTTGATAGTTCGTCCAACGAAGGTGGATTTGTTTTCGTCATGTCCCGCCAGTTGTGTTTTGGCGCCAATTGTAGGTTTTGCCTGAGGGGAATAATTCGTGGCTTGTATGTGTGGAACAGCAGTTTGTACGCTTCACTGTGAGTTGTTATGGAGCTGATTTTTGGCTTCTGAACGTTTTTCGCGTATCTGAGATTGATTCGGGGAAGGTGAAAATGTGTAGAGCCTTGGGTTGGATTCTTGAATTTGGTTGTGCAGTGCTATTCCGATTTGAAACCGCGGTGGATTTTGAACTCTGAATCGTGGTTTCTATGTAAGTAGAGACTTTAGTTCTGGAGAAGTGCCGTGCTGGCCATGGTTTGGAATCTGTGACTTGTGACATTCCGAGATGTTGCTGCTGAGGGAGGTCGGGGTGCGCAGGTGACGTTCACGTTAGAGGTTTGGTGCTGAAAAGAGACTGGCGTGCTGGTTCACCTCGTGACATTATAATGCCGAGCTCTCCATATCCGTCGTGTGTGCGTCGTAGAGAGGATGGGGAGAGGCCTGCGGAGACGCGGGCGCGGAAACGGGTAGCGAGGTTGGAGAAGAGTGTGAGTGGTGTGGAAGAGGTTGTTAAACATACTGTGGATCTGGATGGTATGAGAGGCACCAAAACTCCAGGGAAGGCGCGTCAAACTCCTCTGCGGAGCTCCTCGCGCATTGCCTCACTTGCCTCACGTCAGCCCGTGAAACAGGGCTTTTCAGGGTCGCCTAGAGCTCAGCGTTTTCGGAGGCGGGTTAAGGGTGCTACAAAAGTGACTACGGAAGAAAAATCGGTGAAGGTCAAGAAAGTAGATGTTAAAGAAGTGAAGGTCAAGAAAGGAGAGTTTAAGGAGGTGAAGGTTCAGAAGATAGAGGTGAAGGAGGTGAAGAAGGAGGTGAAGGTTAAGAAGACAGAGGTTAAGGAGGTGAAGAAGGTGAAGAAGGAGGTTGCCATTGTGAAAGCTTCTAAAATTCGCAATTGTAACGGGGAGGTTACGGCTGAAGGTGCCGATGATCTTAGCGAGGGTGCAGAGGAGATCATTACTTCCGGTTCGGATAAGTTGGGACAGCAAATTGCGGAGAGAGCTAGTTTAAATGATGCAATGCAAGTCAAAGCAACTATTCGAATTTTCAACTTCATGTACCTGGAAGCCATTCAGGTGCGGATGAGTCTGGTGGTGTCATTCTTCATACATGAGTTACTGTAGAGAAGGAAGGGTCCTACTTGTACCGTTTTGGTTTTCAAGTGCGCAAACCTCTGGTCTAGCTTAAACTGTTCTCTCCCCGGAAATGCTTGCAGGCCGAAGATAAGCGCGCTTTGGAAATTTTAAGTAAGATTGGGAAGGCTTGCACTGGCAAAAGACCTTCCAAACGCCCCGACTTGAAAGCGATTTCCAAGGTAATGCAGGAATCTGGCTCGCCTCTTCGAAATTTTGTGTCATCTCTAGGAAGCCTTTTACACTGATAAAGGAGGCTTGTCCTTCTTTCGAGTTTCCAGCCACTCTATTACAAGTCACAGTGCAGACCTTAGAGCTTAATGTTGTAGCTTTAGGATACGGTTTAAGATGTATTAATAATCATCACAACATACCATTCGTAAAGAAACTTAGGCTGAGCGTATGTGTTTCATGTACAGATGATCGAACTCAAGGCAACGCTCAATCCTGATAAACAAGTTGGCCCTATTCCAGGTTCAACTCTCATCCTGAGCTTAAATTCCGTTGCTTAGAAGGTTCTGAACCCCTGCGACCGTTTTGGTCCGTGATCTGTTGAATCTTTCATCATGCTTCACAAAATATCTCATTCATGTTCATTTCATCTATTTCTTCAGGTGTTAGTGTAGGCCAGCAGTTCCTGTCAAGAGCAGAGATGGTTGTAATAGGATTGCATTCTCATTGGCTCAATGGAATCGATTATATTGGAGCTGTTAAAGGCAGAGTAAGGCTGTTTTTCAGAGTTTGCACTTATGATTTCCAATTTATCTTAAATCATTTACTGATAACTGTAGCTGACAATGTAGTTATTGAACCTGTAGCTGACAATGCTGGAAAACGCACGCTGTTTGTTTTTGCTGTCTTGCAATGCTGATTGATGCTTGGAAATAACTGTATGTTTTCGCCGCCAGTTGTTTCCTTGTGTTGAAATTTTCGTTGTCAAAGTAGGAAGTTCCAATGAGCTGAACAGTACCTCGGAATTTGGGCATGGCTGTTCATCTGCAATCAATATATGGTTGGGACCTGGCTGTTTTGGTTAAAGTGGTTATTCAATGTTGATTGGGGTGAAGTGATCTGTTAACAACTTTTTTTGATTTCATGTTAGTACTTTCTACTAGTTAATAGATACGGGTCTTGTTCTTCTTCTTCTTAACCAAGATTAACCTTCTAAATAAACTATTTAAATATTTTTTCCCCTTTTAAAAATAAAATATTGTTTATAACCTATTCCTTTCATATTTAAGGAGGTTAGGAGGCGGTTACAGATGAATTGTAGCTTCTCACAATTAATTTAATATATTTTTTCTTATTTTAACTTTTTTGCGACGGCTCTAGATGACGGATGTGGAACTTCCAGTTGCTGTTTCCATTGTTATGTCTGGAGGCTATGAAGATGATGTGGACAATTCAGAGGACATGGTCTACACTGGGCAAGGAGGAAACGATCTTCTAAGCACTCGTCGCCAAATTAAGGACCAAAAGATGGAAAAGGGAAATCTGGCTTTGAAGGTACGTGGTAATTTGTCACCAGCGATTCCTTGCCTACTTCCAATGCGAGGCTGCAATGTGATGAACCGAAATGGAAACGCCTAAACGTGCCAATGTTAACTGTTCTGTCCGCTCACATAGCCCACACTCTTGAGTGCAACGTTTAACTTATTACTCAGACTTTTCACGGAATCGCAGCTTGGTTCAGAAATACGTTGTAGAATAGTTGTTAATAGTTTGTCTCTTTTTTTTCCACTGACCAGTGAAATCCATCTTCATTGTTGTACAGAATAGCATGAAATGTCGACTCCCTGTCCGTGTCATTCGTGGCCATGCTGACAAAAGGAGCTACACTGGCAAGATATACACGTATGATGGGTTGTACGAGGAAAGTCTTCTGTTGAACACTGGTGTCAAGATATTTTAACCACTCACATCATCGCTCAGTTTGGGTTGTCCTCTCATCAGCAAAATAAACCATTTAAGTGAACTTAGTAACTTTTATGGTATTTCTATTTATTAGACAGTTTCCTTTAGTTTTTTCTATCGTTAATTGTAATAGCATTGCAAACCATTGCTGATTTGTTTACAAATGACGTACAGGTTTACGGTCATTGGGCTGAGAAAGGAATTTCTGGGTTTACGGTATTTAAGTACCAGCTCCGGCGTTTGCCTGGGCAGCCTACGCTCACTAGCAAACAGGTGCACACGTGTATTGCTTGTGGAATTTCCTGAAAGTTACTATTTCCGGCGTGAGGTTGAAAAGTTTGTACGAATATTCATGGGTTTTATTTGTGTCTCATTCTGTTGTCAATCGGAAATTCTCATCAGTTACTGAAAAAGTAGTAGTGTTCCACGGAACCTATGTTTATCTGCTCCTCGGCTTTCAAATGCAGGTTCATTTTGCTAGGGGGAAAGCACCAGATACTGTTTCGGACCTGCGGGGGTATTAATTTTACAAACCTCCTATTCTAACATAATAGAATGAGCCTCTACAGCTGATTCTAGAGTCTACTCACTATCACTATTTGATTTCTTTAATTTTCATGGATATGCTGTGAATCAAAATCCTTGAGCGTCTGCAGATTGGTATGTAAGGACATCTCAAATGGAAATCCTTGAGCGTCTGCAGATTGGTATGTAAGGACATCTCAAATGGGCAGGAGCGAATTCCAGTGCCTGCTTCTAACACCATCGATGATCCTCCATTTCCGCCAAAAGGTTTGCCCGTGTCCATTTTATTTTATCTCATGTGAAACTTTATTACCGTGCTTGCGAATTTTTAAAAAGAACAAAAAGAACAAAAAGTAAAAAGTAAAAAAATGTTTCTAGTACTTTTTAATGAGGCTGACATCATCATCATGAGGTTGTAGCACTCACTCCAGAACTTGCCGATTCTATGAAATGTTTATTCCTGATGGACCGATACGGATATCTTTTGCTGACATTAGTTTTAAGATCTTGATGTGACATCTGACATGATTGTGTTGACCAGATTACACGTACATCACGAAGACTGTAGTACCTGACGATATCCCTATGCCTATCGCACCGAAAGGATGCAGTTGTAAAGGGAAATGTACCAATGAGAAGAAATGTGCTTGCGCTCGCAAGAACGGAACATCTTTTCCTTACGTTTTCAATCATGGCGAGAGGTACGCCCTGATGCATATGCACTGTCTCTGCTAGGTCGACGTTATATGATGAGGCTGGTTCAATACTGTTCAGTACCGTAGCTAGTCACGATCATGTCTTAGCACTCACGGCAAGCAATATCGAGTCTTCCGCTAGGGCGTTAGTATTTCAATAATTGCTCACGGGTGTTTACTGCTTGTCCCATCTGATATCGTAAATGTTTGTGATTCGTAGGCTGGTGAAACCTATGGACGTTGTTTACGAGTGTGGCCCAGGGTGTGGTTGTGGCCCTGAATGTTTGAACCGGACGTCTCAGAAAGGACTTCAATATAGGTTGGAGGTGTGTGTTTACGTGTTTTTTTGGTGTCATACTCTAAGCATTTATGATGTTATTTAGCTGTATTAAATCTTTGTTCACAGTCTTAAACTTATTCAGTGTGCCCCGGAAATAGTGGTAGCTCTGCAGGTGGACGTGTTGGTCCTGCTGATTGGAGCGTTCAATGATTTGTATTGTGCAGGTGTATAAAACTGTTTCAAAGGGATGGGCTTGCCGATCATGGGATTTTATTCCTGCGGGAGCTCCAATCTGCGAGTACTTCGGTACATTGAGGCGGAATGACGAGAACCTGGAAAGTATGTTGGATAACAGCTATATATTTGAGCTTGATCTGCTTCAAACTATGCAAGGCATGGAAGGGCGCCAGGTATTAAGTCCATACTCTGTAGACATTTGCTATGAATATTAATTTTGCATGCCAACTGACGAAGTTCTTGTTTTAGTCTCAGCAAGATTGAGCTTCGCTTTCATGTTAATAGTTTTCGCAATTAAAAACACGTCCAATCGAGCTATCATCTATGATAATGCTATTTGGAAGGATCGAAAAGGAAGGAATATTAACGTTTAGTTCATGGCACACGACCTGACTAGATTTTTTTGTAAGCTTGCGTGGTCGTCATGCACCTGATACCATACAGTAATACCATGCCTCTTCACCAGTGTTTCTCATTCATAACCTCCATCCATTTCTGTTGTACAGAAGAGATTTGGTGATGTAATGCCAGAACTTAGTGACGAAGACGACTTGTTGCAAGATGCGCCCGCTTACGTTCTTGACGCTGGAAAGAATGGAAACGTGTCGAGATTTCTCAATCACAGTTGTGAACCGAATGTGTTCATCCAATGTGTGCTGAGTCATCACAATGATGTTACGATGCCCCGAATTGTGATGTTCGCGGCTGATAACATACATCCATTAGAGGTGCGTGAATTTTGTCTTTACTGGGTTGAAGTACTTTTGAAATTCAGTTGCAAACCAATATGTTGATACTTCCTTCGATTGCATTACATTTTTTGTAAGCTTATTTTCCATGGGATCACCAGGAGTTGTGCTATGATTATGGTTACGCCAAGGACAGCGTAGTGCGAGATGGCGAAGTAGTGGAAATGCCTTGTCATTGCGGAGCTCCATCATGCCGCAAGCGGATGTACTAGGTACAGTCCATACATAGTCTTTAGGGTTTAGGGTTTATTGGAATGTTTATTTGGAATTTTTAAAATTAGGTCCAACTGTGGCGTAGTCTGATGTAGTCATTGTATATTTAAGTACTACACCCATACGCATGCAATTGTGCAATTAGCGCCGTTTTAGTCAGGATTTTACCGCAACCCCTTCTGGTGAATGTTCCAGAAGAGAATTGTCTAGGTGAAGAATCGGTTCGAAGAACCGAAAATGTTATGCCCTTGATTTTTGGCGGAGTTGCACTTGGCCCTTAACTTATTTTACATTATTCTTGCGATCTCTAAATTTAGAACTTGAACTGAATTTGACGTTCATCTTTTTTGAATCTATGAATCGTGTACAGTTGTAACGGAACTTGTTAACCGCCAAATTTAGAAGTTGAACTGAATTGACGTTATCAGTTGAGGTGTACCCAAATTCAACTCAAGTTTCTATTAATTTTTCTCTCACACTCCTATTTAGAGAATAGACGTCCTCACGAAATGTTCAGATATGATCGGTGAACATATTCCATTACAACTGTACACGAAGATTCATACCCTAAAATGAGAAGACGACAATCCTTGATGGTACGGAAGATAATTATCAAGAACATTCCATTATCCATCTCTAATCACACGTTCCATTCTGCACCAGTAATCGATATGATGAACTGGATGTTGACGCTTCATTACTCACCATATTGCTATTACATTGGCAATCTCACCGTTGAATCAATGAGGGTTGTAAAATGTACCACTGATAATTGAACATACTCCAATCCAACTCGTTTGAAAGCTTGTAAAGCTAATCCACAGTTCATTTATTCCCTCGCATCAACAATTTGGACGTTTGGCTGACTTTACAAATACTTTTACATATATTTGGCGAAGTTAGCGTTGGCTAAGGATATCACCACAACTTCTCTTGAAAGCTAGACACTCCTCAGCCACAAAGTCGCTGCACAGAGAACAAAAAGTTATGGAAAACCCTAAATAAGCCTTCGGTCAAAGAAAAGCAAAATGAAGAAACAATGGCAAGACACTCAATCCTGACTATCAAGGAACCTTACAAAATTCGCTGCGCCATTTCAGAAGCCTCCCAGCGTGGACTCCAAGGGTAATCCTGATATAGGCGTGATACAAGAGGCTTACCTCGTGCATCGAAATGCTGCATACTCAAAGAAGTGCCTCAAACATTTAACATCTCAGAAAGGAAAAAAACGAGTTGTCAATCATCTGCGAGCATAAATCGAATAAACTAAACCAAACAAAAATCGATAATAATGAAAAAGAGTTCTTTCTGACTTAGGCTTGTATATTGTATAAGTAATTATAAGACTTCCAGACACGATATGTACCTGAGAACTTTGAAAAGTAAACGATGGCTGTATCTTTGGAAATTGGATTGGCAGCACAAAATGTACCTGCGCAAGAACTCACAGCCAGGCATCATTTTCAAATCTGCTTGAACTGAATCAAACCTTTTACTGTTACACACACACAAGAAACTAGTAAGATAAGAATCTTAAGTGCTCTACTCAATCAGCAAACGAAGAGCCTTGAAATCTCAGGACCCTAGAACTAGTTCAATATGTGCTCACCAAAAAAGTAAAAACTCCAAAGGAGGTCAGAATAGAGGCCTTTCGGTAGTATAGCTGTGAAAAACAACCACATGGACATGTAAATATCAAACTGATAAAAACAACTCAGAAAAAATGCTATCTGGTTAGGTTACCCTGTAAATGATTAATCTAAGACATACTATTGAGCTGAAAATGGAAACCCACCGTGTCAACTTCAAGAGGATGACCAAAGAACGGGAACAATGCCTCCACGAAATTCCTTCGCAATCGAACAGATGCACGCGCTTCTCGTACCTATCAAAGGTATTTTTATTGAAATCTCATCATCGGCTTACAATCATAGCTGTTTCTACACTGAAAATACAAAAGGACAAAAACAGGATTTGCGTGGAAATCAAATGCGGACCTGTTGCTGTAGAGTAAGCTCCAGTGTTGGCTTATACTCCACTAAACACCTGTTGAATGGCATACCCCCAAGTATTTATCAGATCGTGATTTTTATAATTAACATTTAAAATTGAATACCAGATGAATGCCATAGCACCCGACTACGCACTTAAGGTGATCAATCAAAATACTTCACCAAATTGTCGTAAAAAGTAGGTACATGACTCACATGTGCTCGGGCCATACAGGAAGTTTGACATCATCAACGTCGAATACGTCTCTCATTCCTTCAGGTGCCACCAGCTTCAGCTGCGGGGCACCTCCTCCTGATTGTCCCCCACGCACTGGAAACTTTACCTGCAATCCACGAAACGAAGCAACTGTCAAGGTTTGAGAGAATACGCCTAAAACGACGCTGGTTAGAATTCCACATCCCTACCTAATGGGCACTAGAGTTTTGGGAGACTGAATCTTAGCATAGATAAATTGAGTTGTAACTTGAGCCGTAAAGAAATTCAATATGCAGTGGGCAGTTTGAAGTGGCAGTTCTTCAATATGAAGATACAAAAGAAGAACCAAAACAAACACCTGATGAAAACTATTCGCAGGAGGTAGCGATGTAACGATCAAATAAGCTTAAATAGAATGGATAGAAACCGTACTTGCAGAGAGATATCACTACAGGTAATGGATGAAGACTGGGAATTTGTAGCAGAGTGAGGATTCTCCATCTCCAGCACTAGTGGAAATGCGAAGTTCACCTCTTCCATCTGTTCAAAGGGTCAGCTACCCTTTCAATAACTGAATGTGTATTACAAGTTGTGCCAATCATTGAATCAAATTGGAGGGAAAGACAACTCAAAAAGAACTGGCATGCCTGGACGTCTATCAATCCTAATTGGTACACATGGCTAGCACAATGAATATTCACAACGTTCTGCTCCTAATGATTGCAATCTGAGAGTAGGATGGACTTCAATCTATCTAGAGACAATTCGGCTTCATAGTGACATCAATGATATGAAAATTGTAGAACTGACCCCTTCGGATATAGTCGTTACGCACATCTCCAACCCCTACAAAGTATAACAACCCAAAATGTTATTAAACTACGCTGGACCCATAAACGATTACACAACAGATCCAGAAATCAACCCAAGTTTCCACCCCATACATACGGTCTGATAGCATAAGATGCACCTGAAACCAGTGTAGCCCAAGACCCTTCAGAAATATTAGTGAACATTCGTCCAGTACGACAAAGTTTAACACACCTGAATTGCAGCCATAGTGCTCATTTCAAATCGGACGCGCTCATCGCTAACTTCTTCTACTTTCTTCCGCTGATATTGCAGATACAATCCCCTGCAATAAATCCACAAGCAGAACCTTAAGCTCGAACTTCAAGCAACTCAGTGAAACAATTACGAGGAAATCAGTCGCAGAGTCGCAGCGATGCTATGATGACAAACTGCTGACAGAATACGCAGGTCTGTTATAACATCATCTTTAAAAGCGCTCAAAAATTAGTAATCAACATCAAGGCAACCTATTGATATTGAAGACATCTTCGATAATTTGAACTGCAAATTGGTAGAAAACAGGCAACGAACATTTGAGCAACTTTGACTTAATGAAGCCCACATAAAGCGAAATACAAATAGGTATCACCATTTGTATAAAAGATTCACCAATAAAAGATTCACCAACCTAATGAGAAGAATGAGTTTCAAGAGTCTAGTAGGATCAGCAACTGTCCAGTCTCGCAAGTAATAACATGGTGAAAGTTCCGAATCATCCATGAGTGGCTGGAAAGTTTCGTCATCAGCGCCAAATATGATGTCGGGTGCCACCCGAGTGTCATTCCCGTTGTATACAACATCCCCTAGCATCAGAAGCCTACAGATCAATATAATACTCAGACAATGAATCCATTGCATTTCCTGATGTATACTGATACTGCATGGTTGCTTCCCAGCTCGAACAAGGCAGAAACAGAAATGGAGAAAGTCATAGGATACTAAGGATTTTTGGACACTTAAAAAAACCAGAACAGAACCAGGTGCCCTAGTGTGAGCAATCCTGCATCGCGTTACACAATTGTAGAGGATAGAGAGAACATACATTTTACGTACGAAAGGCAGCAGGGTACAAAGAGAGAGAAGCGGTCCAAAATGTGACCATTGCGAGCACCTGATCGTAAGTTTTCTACCTGTACATGGTTCCAGTACTGGAGATTAAACAAAGACTGCAGATCGCGCGAAATAGACAATACATATTTCAGCACGGTTGAAGATTTTTCGAAATTTTAAATTCAACACTGAATACGCTCGTCCCTTACAATACCACCCGGATATCCTTGAATTGGTAGCCAATACACACTTCGATATACTACTCTGTACGTAAATTTCGTAAACCGACTGTCAAAGCCCCGAATCTACAACCTAAACCACTAGTAGGTGAGCCAGGGCTTGACGACAACTGAGTCCAATCATGACGTGAATAAGCAGATATTGAAATTATGATTACTTCCTAAAATATGCTCAAAGACCAGCACATCCCCAATCGAGCTTCAAAGCCGACTACAGCCTCAAGCATTACAAACATCTAAATGAAAACCAATATATCAAAGGCATAAACGAAGTTTGAAAAAAAAAAAAAAAAAAAAAAAAAAAACCTAATTAACCATCCGCCCTCCTCCATCCTCCCTATTCCCACCTCCGAGGTTTGAAGAAAAACGCAATTACTGACAAATTGATCACCTCCAGAGTAACAAAGTGACTTGGCCACCACAAAAATTGAACATACCAGAACGCGATGTCATCCTCTTCAGCACCTGCTACGCTCACGATTTCTAATAGAAGCGTGGAACCAAAAACACAGAAGAGAGAGAATTGGTCACGTCCACACCTTGAGAGGGACAGGAGAGTGCATGCGCAGATACTGCAGCTGGGCATTTAACCAGGATGGCACCATGGCTGTCCCAGAGGTCGACGGTGAAGACAGAGGCCGTGGCTGCTCCACCATCGCCATAGCTGCAAAATTGTGACGAAGATTTCGATCAGGAAAGAGACCCGAAAAACAGACTCCGAGACACGACGTCAAGCCCCACAGTTCTCTGCTCCCAGTCTGGTTCTGACGTCTGTGTGAATGCACACATTTTGATTCTTGTGATTGGATTGACACCCTTTTGAGGACCGTCCTAGTATCCCTGGGTTGTTCCCACCTCTGCCGCGAATGGATGAGAATGGAAATAGGAATCTGTTCATTCAAGTCCGAAGGCCACGAATTAATAAATGAGATGAATACTTGCACATGCAAGGGAAGTCTAAAAGTTGGCACTCTATTTAGTAATGTAAGTAAATGTAACTTTGTGGTACATTTTAATGGAAGCATTCTTTTCAGATCAACTTCATATTTCAATATACATTGCTATTCAAGATCAAAATACACAGATTAAATAAATCAAATGAAAATTTCAAATAACATATTTATTGAAATAAATAAATTTAAAATGTTTAAGTCTTAAACTTTATATTCTTAGTTTGAATTTTTGAATCATACAATAAATTGGAAGAATTCATTAATGCAAAGAAAATTTAGTACGAAATTATTTTATAATTTTTATTTCAAATTAAAATATAAAATATTTATAAATTTTTTTTTGTAATAATTATTTTTTATAAACTATAATAATATCTCAATGTAAAATATTTTAAAAATAAAACAATTGAAAGTGAATACAAGAATAGATAATAAATCAAATGCACTAATTAAAAATACTAGGTATAGAATGTTAATAGAAATAATTATGATTATAATAAGATAAATATATTATAAAATATAAAATATATGATTTAAAATTATAAGAAATAAATATATGTATATATAATATGCTTATTAAAAATAATTAAAAAATAAAATCTAACAAATTATACATATGAGAATAATGTAAGATACAAGAATGACAAAAACCTTATTTTTATAAGAATAATTTCTTAGAAACCAATCTATATTACAAACTTATTTTTTCATATATTTGTTTTATAATCTAATTTAATCTAAATTCATAATATATATGTTTTTTATTTATTATTTCAATTTAGTTTTTGTCCTAGTATGATATTTATGTTATTTAACTTTTTATGAATCAATACAAGGAACATTTCTTTTCTCTTAACATGTAATTTATGTGTATTTTAAAAATTCACGTTCTATTGGTTATGATATAGTTTTAATTACATAGCTTTAATTGATAAGCCAAAAGTCGAGATCAGTATATTCTATAATTAGTTTTGATTATTGATAAGAAGTTTTAAATTTAGTTGTCATAATTTAATACTTCTAATTCTATATTCTGTTTGAATCTTTTATCCACTTATTAGATTATTGATTTGTCATTCTACTTGGTTTCTTTTCCAATATATTTGAAGATTAAGAGTTGTTGTAAACATTGAATTTATATCTTTTTAAAAGAATTTTTTAAAATAAAATGTACTTATAAACTGTAGGACTTGATTTGATGCAATGGATCTCTTCAACCAATGATATTTTGACCATGCATCAGAAACAAATTTAGCTGCCCAAAATATATACAATTTGATATTTCAAAGTAGTTCCCATCAATCATAATACTAATCATTTACTTTCCAACTCAATACTTTCACTCTGTTAATAACCTATGCAATAAGAAAATAAATGAATGATTAGAGATATATCAAAATATTCCTCAGAATGGAGACAAGCATGCCGAAAAACCATTCCAGTCATTCATGAGATCATGATACAATTCAGTTGTGTATGATGGAAGGATACAAATGTAACTGCACATTCTCAACATTACATCAGCAGAACAGCATACATGGAATGAGAGCTGAAGTCAAATTAATGATCGCCTCTTTGCAACACACAAATATCATGTTCACAGAAGAGGTTCATAAACAAATGAGGAATAGTCTAGATGGATAATTCAAGGATGAGAATGGATCGGAGTTCCAAAATGCTCCGTTTATTGGTATCCGATTGCTATCCACTGATCAATTACCGATGATGACAATGGCTGAACTAACTCAGCCACACACACTTACACAAAGATTGCTAATAATTCCGAGTCTACTAGTGGAGGTAGCTTCTGCAAAACCCACATCCTTCAGCAGCCACATGGGTGCACACAGAGCTCGAGTCCAACAGTCTTTCCCTGAACGACGACCTTGCTCTTCCAGCAGCTCAGTTTCAAGATGTTTCAGGCCACGCATCTGCGAGTCATTCATTGCAAAAATGATGAACTATGAAGATAAGAATTTTCAACAGCAACATCGACATGGCAGCATCCACAAGTCTACAAGTCTGATCCGCTAACCCAGATCGAGGCTTACTTATTCTGTGCGTGCAGCGACGAGACGCCGATCGTCCTAGTAGCCGCCTGATGGTGGGCTGGGGGGAGTGTAAGGAGGAGACTGCGGAGTCGGAGGAGTATATGTGGTTGGTGGAGTATAAGTAGTGGGAGGAGTGTAAGTTGTGGGAGGAGTGTAAGTTGTGGGAGGAGTATCAGTAGTGGGAGGAGTATAAGTTGTGGGAGGAGTATCAGTAGTGGGAGGAGTATAAGTAGTGGGAGGAGTGTAAGTAGTGGGAGGAGTATAAGTAGTGGGAGGAGTATAAGTTGTGGGAGGAGTATCAGTAGTGGGAGGAGTATAAGTAGTAGGAGGAGTGTAAGTAGTGGGAGGAGTATAAGTAATAGGAGGAGTGTAAGTAGTGGGAGGAGTGTAAGTTGTGGGAGGAGTATCAGTAGTGGGAGGAGTATAAGTTGTGGGAGGAGTGTAAGTAGTGGGCGTGCCGTAAGTCAGCAACGCTCTCCCTGCTTCCGAAGGCATCACCACGCAGCTTAGCAGAGCTGCTACCATGAGCGTCGAACCCATGGCTTGAGCTGACTTCATCACGTTCTGATGCTGCACACTGTCCACGATGAACCTAGCGCCAGCGAGCTCCCTGCAGCGCACTTTGCCAGATTCTGCTCAGATCACTGACTGACTGTGAGTGCAAGGAGGGAGTCGGGGCTGGTTTATATAGGTAACGCTCATCGACTTGTTTTTGTCACCGGTAAATGCAGAACCCATCAATATTACTATTGGGGTCTAGACCTTCCATCAGTGTTACAGTCATTAGGATAGACAGTACCAACCGTCAATAAGTGAGCTCCTGACACTAGCACCCATTTCTTCCAAAGCCTCATAAATTGCAGGATCAGTTGTCAACTTAGTCGATGTGTTGTTCCATGATCTCCACCACCCCCAGATGCGTTTGCAAACAAAAATGACGAACAGAGGACTTCGGGTAGTAGATTGTGCAAGGACAAAGCTCCTTGTGTTCTGTGCCATCCTGACACACTAATCAATGTCGATTCGAGACTTCTTTTTCTTGCAGCAAACTCTGTCAACGTATCTGCTTTTCTTTTCGCAAGTTGCTTTCTTATATGCTCTTGGGAGTAGTCACTCGTTGTAAACTGTTTCAGTCACTAGTTCTTTTTTCCTCTTGAATGGGATGCAACAGGTGTAGACTCCAGAGATATAACTTGTGAATATACGACAGGAACTCCCCGGACACTCCTGCCGAGACTGGAAGGAATTGTGGTGCAGCAGCAGCTGTACCCATTAATGGCAAATTCCCAGAGCACACTGGTTGGTCCGAAATACTGCCAGAACTAATTTCTGTACTTCTCGGTGTTTAAGAATGCTACTGAAATTTATGAAACCGCTAACTCATTATTATTTACCACCATTTCGCAGCATTGAGAAGACTCTTAGAGGAGCATTGCATTTCATTGATAGTTTTAGATGGACTTGAGTGATTTCGTTGCATTCAGGGACAAATATTAGATATGTATTCGGCAAAATTCCTTCATCTCATGTGGTTGAGGAGGTGGTGTGGGCCATGGAAATGACGTCATTGTGATTTGCTGCCGATGTTGCAATCTAAGCATGTCTGACACTCTCAACGTGGACCATAAAACAGAAAGGTTAACAAATCAGACAAAGTTCTTACAAAACATTAATGCCTCATCCAAAGAATCCAATTGCCATCATTTTTTATTAAATGATTTAGATGGCAATTGGATTCTTTTTTTTGTCTTTTTTAATATTTTAGTACAAGATTTTTTTATATTCAAATTTCAATGAAAAATGTCCTCAATTATTTTTTAAAAAATTCAATAGTATAGAATGATGCATTATATATATATATATATGTATGTATTATGATGGAATATTCATCTATGTTACATTATTTTCTTTGATATTACTCTTTAGAATTTTATTAATATAAATTCACTTAATATAATTATCTACACTTATAGAAATTTTGAGCCAAAAATTCATCCAAAAATTCAAGATATGGCCCAAACTGAAACCTCCATGAAAAAAAATTCACTTAAAAATCTCAATTTTGAAGCACTAACTTCCAACAACTCTTTCTCTTTTGTTCTAAATTGGAATGTATCAATTGCTTTGCATAAAATATAGCTCTTCAAGTTAGCTTTTAAACCTTATTTTTCAATTATTGAATATTTTTTTATAACTCTCTATATGCTTAAAAGAGTAACAATAGATATTGAATTCACATCCTAATTTCAAACAACCATATCTTTCTCTTCAAAATTCCAAATCATATATTTTTTTCATTCAACTTTTAATCTAAAATACAAGCTTTTTGAATCCAATCTCTAAACTTTGAATGGATTACCTTGCTTCAAATGATTTGCCTTGTCTCAAATGGGCCATCATAAAATGGTTCCAAACTCTAGTGTGGTCCTAGATAACATCTTGAAGTCCATTGGACATGACTTTTAATCAATGGAAATGAATTCCTCTATCACTTATCTTATCCATCTACATGGGATGACCTAGGAGTTAAAATATTATACTTTTGAAACCAAAGCTTGTCTAAATTTCTTACTAATAAATCCTATAATTTTTATCTTTAATTATAAAACTTAATTTATAAAATTAAATAAATTAGATAAATATTTTATTTTATTTTATTTTATTTTAAATTATAATCTAAAATTTTATAATATTTCATAATATTTTATATTATTTTTATACATTATACTACTTTCCAGCATGATAGGGATGCAAAAAAAATAATAGCATACCATAAAAAATAATTTGCAAGAAAGAAATGCAAAGACAATTGAATTGAGAATTCTATGATAGTTTGTAGATGAATCTCAAAGGTATTTATGCCACTTTTAATAAACTCAAAAAAAGATATATTCTAATTTTTTTTAGAATATTTTAGATATTTATAGAATCTTTCATAATCTTTTAGAAAGTTCCATAGACTTCTATAAGCTTCTTTAGACTTCTAGAAACTTCCATAGCAAGTACCATAGACTTCTATAATCTTCATTATAATATAAATAGAAGTCTTTGGAACCACTTTTGCTATTAATCTCATTCTTTGTCTTAAATCTTGACATATTTCCTAGTCAGATTTCTTGTGTCATTTACAATTCTTTGAACAACTATGAAATCCATTCCTCGCTCTCTCCAAAACAACATCATCTTTGTTCTTCTTCATTCTCAAAAATCTTATGGTCAAATTACTTCTAAACTTACTTGTAGTAAAGCTAGTATCTCTAGGATAGCAAAAATATTACTTTTAATAGAGATAATCTTAGATTAAGCACACCAAAAAAACTCACTGTAGTAGATAAAAGGATATTTATTTGCCAAATTAATACTAAGAAGGCTGAAAATGTTGTTGAGATCGTTAAAAAAACTTAACAATATTATCAATAATCCTATGTCAATCCAAACCATTTGAAATATTCACCATGGCTTTCACATTCAATATTATCAATGATCTTATACCAATCCAAAAAATAGAATATGAAAGTCATGGTGAAAAAGAAAAGGTCACTACTATCTATCAGCTATTGAAAACAAGACTTGGATTTTACTCTGAAATACAAGAAATAGAATATAGAGGACTGAAAGAGGATTATTTGGTCAGATGAGACAAAAAACAACAGATTTGGATTAAATGGCAGAAAGTGGGTGTGAAAAGAAAAGAATCAATCCTTACTTGACAAGAAGATCTAAGAAATAATTTAGCATGGGGATAGAAATATAATGGTATGGGATTGTATGGGATAGAATGGAGTTGAGAAGATGGTAGAGATTGAGGATAAAAGATGGATACCAAGAAATTTGTAGAAATTTTTGAAAAAAATCTACTCTCTAGCATTGAAAAATCTGGCATTTTTGAGAAAGAGGTGATTTTTCAGTAAGATAACGATACCAAGCATAATTCAAAAGTAGTATAGAAGTAGTTTGATCATCATGGGATTAAAGTAATAAATTGGCTTGCTTAGTTTCTTGATCTTAATTCCATTAAACATCTTTGGAAGCATCTCAAACGCCAACTCAACACTTGGAAGATAAAACCAAAAGAAGTTTAGAAATTATAGGAAAAGATAGCTTCAAAATAAAGTAATATTGAAGCAATTTTATACCAAAACTTAATAGAAAGTATGCATAGGAGGTTGGAAGTAGTTATCAAGGCCAAAAGAGAACCTACAAAGTATTGATATGTAATTGGATACCACACTTAAAAAACTATTTTAATACTATTTTAAATTGGATTGATCATAGTTCTATAATTATTTAATATATTCTTTTTAATTTTGCCTCATTTGGTAGCTATAAAGATGTACTTTATTTTCTATATAAACCACGTGTCATTATTCATTACAATTCATTTATAATACACCATTCTTTCTAAAATATTTCAATATTGAAACAATTTTTTGAATCTCTATACATAATTATTCTAATATTTACCTATATAATTAAGTAGAAGTAGATAAAAATAGATTTATTTCATAATATATTCTAGAAAAGCTTCTTAGAAGCTTTATAGATACTGCTTTGATTTTACATGTGTTTGTAGTTAATTGATAGATTAGAAACTTGGTCAATAAGTTAATCACAAGTTGGTAGCTTATAGAACAAGCTAATTATGTGGCATAAATATAAAAAACTTATCTTGTAAGTTAAGATATGTGTCTTGTAAAGTCAATACATTTTAGAAATCCTATAGAATATTGCCACATAGCTCTTAGTTAAGAATATATATGGAGGCAAAAGTGAAGCCTTCTTTATTCTTATCAATCCATTTCTAGTCTTTAGTCTTATTTTAAGATTTTTTAATTTTCTTATCTTTGACAATAGCCATTGTAGTTTAATACAATATCATCTTTAAGTGATTTATTAGTCTTTTTGAATAAAACAAGCGCGTATTGAGGTTTTTCATTTTTTAATATTTATGTCCTTGACATAAACAAATTCAAAAGAAGTGGATATTATGTTGTGATTTGACTATCATGTAAAAATAATGCACATATATATATATATATATATATATATATATAAAATTTATTATATAATGCGATAAGAGTTACATTATTAGATTTTAGTTAGTTGCAAAATATGATTACATTACTACTTTGAAGTAGTTAATCTAAAAAGGCTATTATTGAGGTTAGTTTTTATGTTAAGAAATAATTTTTATATATTTAGAGCAACTTTTATTAAACATTGATAACTCTTGATTTTTTTTTTTTTTTTTTTAATGTTGTATTTAGGGCAAATATTATTTAAAAATTATTAAAAAAAGAATTAGAGAAGGATTTTGGTATCAAAAAGGACAGTTCAGCCATCTATATAGATGAATAAAGATGGATGATAAAAGTCTCTATTCTTATTGGCCAAAAATCAAGTCCGATGGACTTTAGGGAGGCTGCTTGAGGCCTTATTAGGAATTAGGGTTACTCTTTTGAAGAAATTTGAATATCAAAGATTAAAATCAATAATTTTAGGTTTTAAATATAATTTTGGTATAAATTTTGTATGATTTTGAATTTTTGTGAAGAAAATATAGGAACTCAAAGTCAAGGTGTCGATTTTATATGTATTGTCATTTTTTGGAGCATAATGCATGGGTACAAAAATCAATAAAGGATCAATGATTATAATTGAATAATTTTTTTTTA